TCTACCAGTCGATCGCGATCGACGGGTTGGCGACCACTGGTCTAGCTCAAGGTTCCTAATTGCAGTCCTGGTGCCTCCCAGCTCTGCACATCTCTTGTCTGACATGCTCAGTTGAGGGGCGGGGTCTGTTTGACTTTGTTGCTTTAATTTGGAAACATTTAGGTTTTGTTACTTCACTTGCTTGCAGTATAGGTGGTGTGTAATGAGTATCAAGAAATGGGGACTAAAATAGTTACAAATGCATCAAATCTGTTAAAAAAAAGACAATCACTAATAGTCAGTGCTGCTGACTAACCAAAAGATGTTGGAAACACTGCTCTTGATCTGTATAGTGACAGTGATCTCTATCAACTCTGCTAAGATTTTGATCGTCTGCTCACCTGCTGCTGAGAAAAACGATGCAGGTCGTGCCAAGTCATGAGGGTGATGGATAGCTCCAAAAAGGGTGGGGCCTGGGGGTCGACTTAGGAACTCCGGTTTGAGGCCAAAGTCCAGCTTGTGTGGGTCAACCTGCATCTGCTGCTGGAGAAGGCCAGGCACAAAAGAGAACAAATGTGATACCCCTCTCAAAGTACCTCAAAAATAAAAAAAGGCTATATTGAATTCTGCAGATCAGAGTTAACAGAGAGGAGAAAAAAAGAGAGGCACAAAGAAAATTTCTTTGCATATGTAATGTTGATCCTGATTGGAGGGTGCAGTAAAAGTCAAATCAGGTTATGTATGCAAATCTCACCTTTACTTTCTGTTGGTGGTGGTAAATTTGCCAGGCTATATGGACATGTATAGCACACCACTTTCCTGGTTTCTGTGGAGACAGAAAGACAAAGTAAGATTTTCATGTTCAGACATGACTACGTTCATGCTAGTTTCATTTTATTCCTTTAAAACTTTTAAACACTTCTATGACAGAATATTGGGTACATCTGAAAATATTATTTGCAATTTTATGTAAAGTTGAACATTTTAAAGTGAAATTTAACTTGGAACGTTGATATTAAGTTTGTTTGCGTTCTCCTAGGTTTTGGGCACAGTTGCAAATTAATTAGGGAAAATGTCATTACAATGTGTTTTCAGTGATAAGGGAGTCATATAGCGTCTCCTATAGACTCTGAGGTGAGACCATCGAATCCCAGCGCACAGCTAATTAAAGAGACTGCAGAGCGGAAGGCAGGTGCTCGGTGTAAGGTGGGATTAAACTGTAATGAGCTTTTACTCTATTTGCTGCGGAGTCCTGTGGGGAAACAAACCGAATAACTGATAAAGCAGTCTTACCCTGAGAACCGGCCGGAACGGATCTGACAGCTAGAGAGAAGAGGGAAAAGAGAAGAGCACGAGTGAGAGAGATTAGGGACACAAAGCTGTCACTCAGGACTTTTAATCAGCATCCGAGCATCACTTCATCACTGACCAAATTAAAATGTTAAAATTTCCCTTTCTAATGAAGCATTTCGTGGAATAATTAGGCCAGAATTCAGAGTATTCCCCTTCCTATCACTGCCTGCATACCAATGTGGACAACAGTATAACGTGACAAATGCAATGCTTAGTTTGCCTGTAGTGTCATTCAGCACTAGTTTGTTCATTACAAAAAGTTGTGTTTGGGGTGCGTACCCGAGGGTCTTTCTGAAGGAGTGTGTGTGGGACGGCTCCAGGCCTGGCTGCCACGTCTAGAGGGTTTGAGGTCTGTAGTACAAAAAGACAAAACATAAGCATTTTCAGCCAATCACACGATACCTAAACCATCCAGTAATATCTCACGTACTCTAGGATTACTGATAGCTAACTGTGGTACATCACCAGAAGGTATATCTTAAGAAAACTTCTGTAATTGATTCTCTATTTATACTGTACCTATAGATAACATTAAAGAAGAAACCGACTGTCTGAGATCTGTTTATATTTAGCTAGATCCGTTCCATGTGTGCAGGAGAATATTTGGAACAGCACAGGAGGTTAGTTTTGGGAGTAGTCTCGAAATTCTAACATTTAGCGTTTGATATTGTGATACCTTGGGCTGGAACGCTCCCTGCAAAGATCCGAAGGGCCCCGTCGGTGGGATGACGGGCGGAATGCCAGACACCGCTGGGGGGTAAGAGTGGAACAGCTGAGAAAAGAAAAAGGATACAAGACACAGTTACTCCGCGAGGTTCCTGTTTGATCGTGTCAGCTGTTTACAGTTATACAGTGAGGCCGGAGTCTGCAGGTCCCTGTACAAACTAACATCTACACAATACACACATGCTGCATAATATGAAAATACACACCATGTGAAAATAATTCACAACAATTTATGCTTAGTTTTTCTCTCTATGAATGAATAAAATGAAACTACAAATAATTTATTCTGCTGCATATAATGATACAACCTTCATCTGACCTGCAGCTGTTGTGACATTAAACAAAGATTAATGGTGAGATGAATTTACAATATGGGTCACCCTCTAAACCAGCAATGACTGTTATTATCACAGCGCACTGCATAATACATGTAATTATAGCAGTGTGTGTGTTCAAGGGTGGGTGTCACAAATGAATCATTGCTAAATGGCGACTCTGTAATTAAAGGGCAGAGATCAAATCAATTAAAGTTGCATTAACCTGTTGGACAGGAAGGTAGAATGAAACACATTTTATCTCTAACAAGATCCCCACAGTATCCAGCGAGGCATTTCAATAGAAAAAAAAAATCTTGCCGTCAATTTGCTTAATAAAATGTGTGCTTAACAGTGTTGGGAGTAATGCATTACAAAAGTAATAATATTACAGTAGTATATTACTTTTTGCTGTAACGCAGTAATATAACGCATTAGTAATAAAATTTGGGTAATATTATTACTCATTACAATCTCAGTAACGCAAGTTACAACAACATATTTTAACTCAAAATTAAGTGGTGAATTTACCAACACAGCAAAACAGCACCAGAGAAAAAATTCCGCGGGTAAAATAGTTTGTCTATCTTCTGTTGCTGGAATTAGATGGTTGAGATGACTGCAGAGACGGATTCTACATTTGTGAGATGGACACACTCCTGTTATTTTCAGTTCATCGGAGAAAAGAATAAGAATGCATAGTCAGGTGCAATATGTGCAACACCAAACTCTCAACATGGAGAAATAGCACGAGTAAAACCTGGAAACACCTGGACTGGTGCCACTAACACTAAACTATCGGAGAGAGAGCTGCGGGGTCGGAGAAAAGAAAAAATACGGCGGACGAGCGCAGCGCAGACAAGCAAAATTAAGTTGAACTAAAAATAACAAAATCTGT